AGAAAAAAAAAAAAAAAAAAAATTGCATCAAAATAAACTTGTTCTCTAATTCAATTATTAAAAATTTCTCTTTAGTGGGGGCCAGCAGATGGCAGAGTGGTTAAGGTACTGGACTCCCACATAGTCTATCATGGTTCAAGTCCCAGACCTGGTGGATTAAAACTCATGCCAGTACATGTGCGTGTGTGCCCCAAATCACAAGAGAATGGAGGAGAAGGGATTGTGGCATGGCTAGCTCCTTGTGGGGAGTGGTTTCTCCTTTTCTCTCTCTCTGTCTCTCTTTTTGTCTCCAGAGAATGTACATACCCTATTGCAAAAATCTCTCTTAAAAAAAAATCTCTTTTTTAAAGTTTATTTATTTATTTCTTCCACAAGCAAGAGAGACAGAGGAATGGCATCCCCAACAGTGTCTTAATGTCACAAGCCACCCCAAGACTCAAGTAGCTCTGAACATTTGGCACGTGCATGCCCAAAATGCTCAGGGAGGATTCTGGTTGTAAAATGGGAACTTTTCCTTGTGTATCATTTTATTGCTATAGGGCTGTCTGGGCTGGCATTTCATTTTTCCACTAACTTTTTTTTTTTTTTTAATTTATTAGAGGGTACATGTGCTCACCAGAGAGACAGAGAGAGAGGAAGAAGGAGAAAGCACCCTCACAATGGGTCATGGTCACACCACAATCCCTTCTTCATTTCTCCATCCTGTTGGGATTTGGGGCATGCACCCAGTGTAATTTTCAAGCTTTCAGGACTGGGATTCAAACTGTGAGGTTGGCTGTGTGGGATCTGGCTCCTTTAACCACCAGGCTCCTCTATGAACTTTTTGAAGTCTCCACACATATGTACATTTGTGGACCTGCTAAATTGAGCTAATCAACATATGTACCACCTCACATACTTATTTTTGTGATGAGGACATTTGAAATCTCTCTCAGCAATTTTCAAGTATAAAATACATATTAACTATAGTCACCATGTTGTATAAGAGGTCTCTAACTTATCCCTCCTAATTTAAATTTTGTATACTTTAACCAAGGTTAGTTCTTCTGAAAAGACAAATTCAAGAGAAAAAGTGCCCTGAACAAAGGAAAATTATCCTTGCTCTGCTGTTACTGACCAGGCACATTGGTTGGAGGATGTCAAATGTTCATCTTTTCTGGCTAATGCTTATCAACCTTTCTGTCATTTCTTTCCTTGGACAGGATGATCTGTCATTCTGTAGATATCAAGAGTCTGGTCAGACTGTTGCTTTTGCTTAGTGAGTTGCCATTAACTGAATAATTTTGGTTCTGAATGTGATATTTAATAGGAACAGAAAAATGTCTTCTTTTCTCCATGCTAATTATGGTCCCCTATCCATAAGGACTAACAGGTGACATGGCAAGAATGATAGAATAGAGAGAAAGGTGCCATTATTAGACAGGTGTTAGAACTTTTTAATGTATATATCCTACACGCACACACACACACACACACACACACACACACACAGTGAGGTATTTGCAGTTCAAACAGGGAATACATTTGAGTACCTTAAAAAGGGAATTAAGATCAAAGCGGAAAAAAAAGATGACCAGTTATTTCCCATAAGGCAGCTATATAGATAAGCTGTGTTGATCAGACAGCCCCATATCACAGCCCTATGTTCTGTTCTCCAAGAAGAACCTGTTATTAAATTATTTTAGATCCTATAATTAAAAAAATAATTCAAGACTAGATAAAGAATTCATACTGTAATATACTCAGTTTACCAGGTGGCTTTTAGCAGCCTTTAATATAGACAGTACTTTGATTCCAATTAAAATGTCCTCAAATTTGATAGATGTGACACATCGTCATGTCATCTGTGATAGGTTAGATCAATTAAAGCACACATTTTTTTGAAGCCCAGTTCTGACATTTATAGAGATCTAAAAGACCACAGGGAGGCTTCTTTCCTGGGAAACCATCTTTACTTTCAACAGGGGCCAATATTTCTCTTTTTTGATTATATTCAGTACCTGGTTCACTGCAGGACCCAGAGCTAATAAACAATTTCTGGGCTGACTGACTTGGGTGGATTATGCATGATTTTCTGTTGCTCTCAATCAAATAAGATATTTAATTTGTAAGGCCCAAAGAAAAGATTCTATTTTTACCTCACGTTAAAAAAAAGTATTGACGATATTTTCAACCAATCCACTACTGAATAAGTAATGTAGGCCACAATGTATTAAACTATTCTCATACATTTAAAGTAGAAAATTCATTTTATTTCATGTTTTTCTCAATATTTAATATGTGCCTTTCAAGCCTACTTTGCAGCCCTTTAATTATTTATAAATTTCTGTAGAATATTTCATGAAGTTGGCATAATTTTAGCTGCAGACTACTTGAGAAAAATGAGGAGCTTGCTCATTTCAGGTCAAACTAAATGCAACATAATTCTTCCAGTTATTTTGTTGGTCAACTTCAATTAAATATTCATTGAGCTTTAAATGAGACACTAAGACTCAGAAATATTTACGTGTTCTGACAAGATTGTGAACTACAGATTAAATCCTAGTTAATACCCAGAGCAAATTATAAAGTGCTTTCTGCATTAGTGGTTCAACAAAACAAGTCAGCACCTGTTCATCATTTTTCTTAAAAATGAGGCATTTTCTACTTGTCGCCAGTTTTTCCAGTAGCTTCTAATCCTAGCAATATAACTAGGGTTACATTTTCAAAAAGTACAAAGTAAAAATAAAGACAATCCTTTGGAATGTGTATTAAAATTAATATTGGCAGTAGATGGGGTTGCTCACCAACATTTGTGTTAGGGACAGTTCTTCTATACCCCAGCTTTGCTTTGACAAATAGCTTTGACAAACAGCTCACATCTATAACCCTCTCTGGAGACTTGCTCTGGGTTAATTGGAGTTGCATCTCCCAGAGACATCTGGGAGGTCACACTGGCCTCTTTCAGAGGGTGCAGCCGGTGACTGACTGAGGTATTTAGGGTCCTTGCCTCAAGGTGGGACAGCTCTGTGCTGTGACTCAGGCTCCATAGTGCCCGCACATCAGGCCAAGGCTAAACTTGACCTAGGAGCGTATCCTTGCTTGCTTCATTACCAACAGGTTTCTTGCAAGAGAGTGAGCCTTTAATAAATTGCATGCACCTAAATCCCTGTTTCAGGGTTTGTTTCTATGGAACCCAACCTAAGATAACATTGCAGTTTTTCGTTTGCTTGTTTTTGTTGTTGTTGTTGTTGTTTTTGTTTTTGTTTTGTCTTGAGAGACAGACAGAGGACAGGCACATAGAGACAGAGAGACAAGCATTTTCAATAGGGTCCTCATACCATGAACCATCCCCAGTCTCAGACCACCTGAATCATGGGCACACCCACCCAGAATGCCCAACCAGGGAGGTCCCAGGACACAAACCTGGGGCCTTTTCCATGTGGGTCTGGCTATGTCACCTCTATGCAGCCACCTGGCTAGACCCTACAGTTTTTATCCGTAATTCTAAAAATGGCCATCAAAATGCCCTGCTCAGGCAGACCATCACATGACAAGAGGGAAAAAATGCTATTTGCAATCATCAGAAAGAGCTAGCATTTGTTATCTTTCATGGCCCCTGTGGTAGACACTTTAGCTGCTCATCCTTTATTTATTCTCCTCTTCATTCATACACCAGTTTTATTCAGGCTGGAAATGTGCCCACCTAAAAGCATTCACCTCCCCGGGCTCCTTGCAGCTGGGGCAGACCGTGTGACTCACTGCTAGCCAATGATATATGCTCTAAGGTTTATTGGGTGAGGCTCCTGGGAAAGTTATTGTTTTTCTAATCAAGAGTCAAGCTTAGCTGGCACAATTTTCCTGTCCTTTGCCCTCCCTTTGTTTTTCTGTCTGTAACTAGGACATAATTCCTCAGGCACAGCAGCCATCTTGTGAGTGCAACAGAGATAAAGGGAACCTAGGT